TTTCGTCAAGATTTTGCCTGACCTGGTATACTGAAAGTTACCTAATAAATTTATTAATGTCTAAATTATCTTGATAAATAGAAATTATGGAAACCCGACCTCATTTGCTATTACTTTTCTAGCTGAAATATAAAATATTAAATAAACTACACATTATTAGCCTTTCAGACGTACCAGTTCGGATAACATTTTTCTTCTCAATAGGAGTGCAGTATATGATTGAGTAAAATATTCTCACTACCTTTCTACTTTGCCTTAATCACACAAACTTTCCTTTTATTTTAAAAAAACACATAATTTAGTCGAATCTATTAACTCCAACAGGAACATTTTAAAAACTTATCTATTTTAATAATTACTAATATACCCCTCACACTAGCAAATCCTAAATTATATTATTATTTTGATAGTTACATAATTTTAATGTAAAAAACATGTTTACAAGTTTTAAATTTAAATTATTTATATAATCTCTCAAGGTTGCAACACTTTATGTTATGTGATGAATAAAATTATATGTTTGAAATATATATTTAGCAATTTTAAAAAAATAAATAAGTCTCAATAAATTTGATAAAAATTAGAATTTTATAATATAATAAAATTTTGAAAGTGTATTTATTATATTTTTTTAGTTGCATGCAAAAAAAAAATATTTTTTAGGCAAATATAGATTTTTAAATAATTCTTACATTAAAGAGGGACATTTTGGTTAAATTAAAAATTTAAGAATCAGTTTAATAGTTAACTAATAATTAGATGGATAGAAATAGAATTTCAAATATATAATGAAGGTTTACGTATCATATATTTTAACTTCAAAAGATTTTATATGAGTTTTTAAAATAAAAAAATGTTTGTATAATTAAGATATAATAAAAAGATGATTGGTATATTTTACTTTTTAATTTCTTTTCCTTTTGCCACTGGAAATGTATACACGATTATCGTCTTGTGAGGCTGTGATGCGAAAAGGATGAGATTCTCCATCATTCTTATTAACTTATCTATTTTCTTGTTCGCCCTAAATCGATCAAAGTTAATGAAAATAAAAATAAAAAGAACATTCATATTCTAAATAACAATGAATAAAATGATAAGAACCTTACACCCCTAAATTGCTTGAATTCAAAGCTTCTAGTTTGGGGTGCATATTTAAATAGGTAGCCTTTGTTTTTTTTTTTTTAAATTTTGTTGGTTTAAACAGAGGAGTATTTCAATCATCTGTTCAAATTATTTAATGAATAAAATATTATCCTTAGTTCTTGAATTGCATTTGATCCTTGGAATCAATTTTCCTTTCAATAAGGTCATTTTTACCAATTTTTTCTTTTTATATGCCTGCAATGTTAGTCCTTATCGTTACTAATGAAATTAAATTTGCTTATGTATACAAAACTCTATTTAATTTTTTACTCTATTTATTTAATGAAAAAATATAACTTTGAATCCCCACACTTTACTCATATTTTATTATTGATTCCTACACTTTTTTTGATATTTTAAGTATCTACACTTTTATTTTTTATTATTTTAAGTCCCTCTATAAACAAAATATAGGGACTTAAAACAATAAAAAATAAAAATGTAAGGACCTAAAATATAAAAAAGTACATAGATCAATAACAAAATGCTAGTAAAGTATAGAGATTTAAAATTATATTTTTTTATTTAATTTTGTTGACAAGTTATTAAAATTATGATGAGCTGGATATTGTATGAGCAAAATAGCTACTAATATTTTTGTTTGTATGTCATAATTTTATGTTTTTTCCTTCTAAAGCTTTATCTATCTATTACACGTTTTAAAGATTCTGATTTAACATCCTTTTCTTCTTTTGGTCTTCCACTCATTTTTTTTTAAATACAACTCATACTTTTAACAAATCAGTACAATAAGTAATAGAATTTATGTACATGTTAGTCACTCTAATGTCATTATAGTCATATTAAAAAATATAGAGACTAACATTAAAAGCAAATGAAACTTAAGAGATTTAATTGAAACAATAAAATAAAAGAACATAAACCAATTACAAAATATGCTAAAAGTGGGAGGACTAAAAACTATATTTTTCCTATTTATTTGCTTGCACAACCCAATCCTTATAAATTTTTTACTTGGTACTATTCATTTCCTATGATTCTTTGATTTAATAAAAAATAATTGATTGTGTTGAAACAGGTTAAAGTTTAAAAAGTAAATTGATAATTAAAAAAACTTAGTGATTAAAATTTATGTTATCATTAAAAATTTTGGAAAATTAATGTTAACTAAAATATAATAGTAGCATCTGTAAAGAGAAATTAATATCCATGCTGACTTCATAACCTACTTTATAGTTTTAACTAATGAGGTACTTAAAATTGATCAAAACACTAATTTAAAAATTAATTATCAAACTATAGTTGGATTGTGATTAAAGTCAATCACACAAAATATTTTATTAAATTATTTTTACTAAAAAATATTTTATTAAATTAATTAAAACACTTATTTAATTGGTTAAACGAGGTCGATGGACCTGAATTTTTATATTATGCTTTTAACATAGCCTCCTTATAATCAGCATTGTTGGTTTTAATTAAGGCTATGGCATTTTTGTTTGTTTAAAAAAAGCTACTCTCTTCGAATTATAATATAAGTCATAACTAACTAATTCATGATTTATAAATAATGTTAGTTGTAATCTTTTTTAAAATGTTTATATCTTTTCATTTACACCCTCCTTAAATACCTTATATAAGAATCTTGATGATAATAATTAAAATTTTAATGAATGATTTAAAGGTAATAAATGAAGTAGGGGTATAGTTAAATATATATATATATATATATATAAAAGTTATCAAAACCCTATATTTTGAGCTAAATAAAATTTTTAAAAGATGCTTTACATTATGGTATGGAGGGAGTAAATTACAGGGGAGAGAAGATTTTTTTGGTTCATTTATAAATCATCTCATTAAATTTTCATCACAAATTTTCTTATTTGACTTCTATTAAATGTTGAAAAGAAAATATATATTATTAAAATATGTATATTTAATAAGGATAAGTTAGAAAATTATTAAATTTTTATAGAGAATTAATAAATTTTAAATTTTTTCAATTTTGATTAAATGTTTTAAAAATGTTTTATAAATAAGATCTAAGAAAAAATAGCATCCAAGAACCATTGTGTAAAATTTATATCACATAAAGACCAAAAGATTGGTATTTACTCTACAATCCTTTGGTCCTTCTTTTGTATTCATTTCGTAAGCAAAATGACAAAATTACCCCTTAAGTACTTAAAAAATAAAATATAAAAAGAAACCCTACGACATCAACCATAGGAGCACTGTCGACGATGATGTCGCCGAAGCTTTGGCAACAACATTTTATTTGAAAAATAATTAGTTTAAGTGGCCAAGGGAGGGTTTGATCCCATGACCCTTGGCCACTTGAAAAGTTTGGTTGCCTAGTCAACAAGCCATTTAATTATATATAGTAAAAAAGAAATATAAGTAGTAAGTTGAGCTTGTAACCATTTTCATATCATAATTGTAGTTGATAATTAAAAGCATAGGTTCAATGGACTGTTGCTTTTCTATCTTATTAAATTCTAAATGGATTATTTTTAATTTAGAATGGGTTGTTATTAGAATCTAAATAGATACTTATTGATGAAAGACTAACACATATAATTGTGCAAATCTTATATATTTTTTTTAGCTTGTTAAAGCTTAAATGGACTATTGTTATTTTAGAATGTACTGTTGTCAAAACCTGAATGGATGCTTAACATTGATGATGAAAAACACGCACAATGAAGCGCTTCACAACAATAAGTGTACATTTAGGTTTTGACAACAATTTATTTGAAATTAATAACAATCTATTCTAGTTTTAATAAGTTAAAAAAAATTGATAAGAAGAGTTTAGTTATACGTGTTAGTCATTTATCAATAAATATTCGTATGAGTTTTGATAACAACCTATTCGTGATTAACAATAATACATTCAGACTTTTAATAAAGTTAAATGCATGAAATTTTAAAGCTTTTAATTTGTAATTGTCTATGTCAGTTTATAAGTAACATTTATAAAATAATAAATTTCATTTAAAAATTAATAATACACCATTATATTATGATATAGAAATGGTTATAAGTTTGATTTACTATTTATATTTTTTTATATATAATTAAATGACTAAGTGTTATGAGATTAATTCTTCTTTAATTACCTAAATTAATTATTTTTCAAATAATATATTGCTGCCGTACCAACAGCCGTTAACCTCGCTGGCAGCAGGGGCGGCAGCGAGGAGTCCGACAGCAGGCGATGGTGGAGCTTTTTTTTTTTTTTTACCTATTTGAAAGATAATTTTATCATTTTACTAATTTACTTATGAAACTAATATAAAAGAAGGATCAGAATATTGGAGAATAAATATCAAATTATTTAATTCTCGTGTGATATAAATTTGAGATAGTGGTCTCGGACGCTACTTTCCCAAGATCTAAGGCGGAACGAGGAGGAACGGAGATTGTGTAATGAGTGAGTAGTAATAAAAGGAGGACATTGCATGAGAGAGTCCGTACCCTGCTGCTCATAAATATGATCGACGCCATTAATGATGTTCTTCACTCCTTTTCTCTGGGCTTGTCACTGTTGCTGCTGTTTCATCCCAGAGAATCCGCCATCAATGCCCTTTTCTCTTCTTACATATCAGCCTTTAATGCCGTCGCCATCATCCACACCCTCACTTCCCACTTCTGCTCATTTTCAAAACTCTCTTCTCTGAACTCTCTCTCTCTTCTGCCTTCTACTCACTACTTGGCATTTATTGCTCAAGCCAGCCACAAACTCGCTGAAAACCCCTTCTTCTTTCCTACCATCAATTATTTCACCTTCTACTTCCTCTTCTTCTCTCCTCCATCCTCATCATCCGTACATATTAAATGCAGATTCAAAATTTATTCATTTTTATTATGTGTATATCAGCGTCACCAGTTCATTTATAAATGGTGGAGGTAAAATTTTCTACCATCACAAGCATTTATTGCCAGAATACATAGGTATTTTTCATCTAAAATAAATAACCTTAAAAATCTGCAAAGGGTCTTGTCAACTTTTCCGACATTTAAATCCCGCCTTGTCGTCTACAGATGCAACGATACTTATTAACTCAAATTTGCTCAGACCCATCCGCCTAAAGGTTGTTTCTCTATGATCGTACCATTTTCCCAACATTTAAACCCCCCTGCACATCTCTCTCTTGTGCATTCCTCGCTTGTTGTCGTACCTGAATCTCATCCCTCACTCCCCTAAACTTTGGACTTTGGAGGCTCATTGTTGCAGAGAATCTGTCGTGGATCCTCTCTTCATAATCGATCGACGATGGGAAGAACACCCTGCTGTGACAAGAGGGGTTTGAAGAAAGGGCCCTGGACGACTGAAGAGGATGAGATTCTCGTCGATTACATCAACAAGAATGGCGGCCATGGAAGCTGGCGTTCTCTCCCTAAGCTGGCAGGTTTTCATCTCTCATTTTTCTTTCCAGAATCATTCCCATGGTTCCAAACTTCAGTTTTAGATTTTCTTGTTTAAAGTGATTCTTTGACTAGGCCAGAAGCTACTTGGAAGTAAGAGTTCAACTAATAGGGTATCATGTTTTCATGCTTATGTACAACCTTTATATGTATGGTCTTTTATCGGTACGATCTGCACTTTTTGAGAACTCGATTCCTCCATTCTGAGGTTTGCTCTTACAAATCCATCCCATTGCTTCTAATAAATAAAAGATGTGATTGAGTAGACAAAAGGGTGGTTGTGGTGTGCAGGTCTGCTTCGCTGTGGGAAGAGTTGCAGGCTAAGGTGGACGAACTATCTGAGGCCTGATATAAAACGTGGTCCCTTCAGTGTTGAGGAAGAGAAGCTTGTGATACAGCTTCATGGCATCCTCGGCAACAGGTATTCATCCCCTGGTAATTAATTTCCATGTCACTTTACTCTCATGGGCCGGCGTGAGGTATCTTCAAATGAAGAATAATCCCCTTGTTTGATTGTGAGCTGTTCAAATGAAGAATAATTGGTATGTACTGAAATTGCAGGTGGGCGGCGATAGCGTCACAGCTACCAGGAAGAACAGACAATGAGATAAAGAACCTGTGGAACACCCACTTGAAGAAGCGACTCTTGTGCATGGGACTCGACCCTCAAACCCACAAGCCTCTCTCTTCTTCTTCCTCATCCTCCTCCTCCTCAGCTGCCGCTTCTACTCCCTCCAATGCCTCCATCTCCACCCGCCACATGGCTCAGTGGGAGAGTGCCAGGCTCGAGGCCGAGGCTCGCCTCTCCAAAGAGACCTCTCTCTTCGCCTCTCATTCCTCTGCCGCCGACCCCGACTTCTTCCTCCGCTTGTGGAACTCCGAAGTCGGCGACGCCTTCCGCAACATAAATGTCGTCTCTTCTCCGGGATCCTCCTCTTCCACCAAGTGCACTGTTGCTACTGCTCCAACAACACGTGCTTTCATGGCTTCGTCTGACGACTCTTCCATCTCTAATGATTTGGAAGAGTCGTCAGACACTGCGTTGCAGCTCTTGTTGGATTTTCCCATTTACAATGACATGAGCTTCTTGGAAGCAAACTCTTTCATTTCTCCTCTTTAGGTGTACGTTATGTAGTTATCAGGTATGTTGTAATCCCCTTGTTTGCGTGTTTTGGGTTGAGTATCTTTTAGGGTTTCCTGTCAAAGGCGTGTGTGTGTGTGTGTGTGTGTGTGTGTGTTGGAGATCTTGTAGGACGATGGTAGTTGTTCGTCGATTGCGCTTCTGAATTTTGGTTTCTCATTTGGGTTAACTAAATCAGTAATTATACATACATATGGAATACATATTGTATCAGAAACGTTAACTTAGCTTGCTTATTGCACAATGTTCTGTGGATTGATTTCCTCTCAAATTTTTTTGAATAAAAGGTGATTCATTCATATCAAAAGTCTAAACAGATCAAAATACATCAACGACATCATTTCTTCCCCCTTTCTCTCCTCTAATGAAAGATGGAGGATGGTTTGAGGAAACGCACCCACGCAGTGAGCACACAGCGAACTGACTTTGCGACAACGTATGAGTTCATGTTGTACTGAAATTGGTCTGTGTCCGATTGATTTCAGTACAATCTAACAGAAAAAATAAAAACTTGTTCGAGAACACCTCTTTAATTTTATTTTTTTTGGGAGTACTTGATATTTTAAGCTTGCCTAACATTGATCTAAGAGACTTCAACAAGCTTCAGAAAATCCAAATGAGTCAGGGCAATGTTCTTGTGGGTAGAAGTTCTACCAAAAGTGACGGATTTAGGATTCTTCCTTTTTTTCTTTCACCCCGGCGGGAGTTGGGGTAACGAGGCGCAAGATTTAGCTATAAATTTTTTATAACCAATTTATAAAGCATGGCTTCAAACATTTGCAAGGAGGTAAACATTTGTGTAGTGGTCAGCAACCCTTCTGGTACTCCTATAAATTCGTTCTTAACCACCAATGCGACTACATGTCAGAAATTAAATTCAAGAGCTTATAGCTATAACTTCTTTGTTAGATGAATCAAATTTAACTAGAGGTTCCAAATTTGAGCTCGGGAATGTAGTAGTGTTAAGTGATAAAATTTAGTGATAAAACTTTCACCTAAATATGTCCTATCATGGCTCATTTCATATTAGTATGGGCCACTATTAAAATGTCACATCTCAAAATACAAAAGTAACGGGCAAAGGATATGTGTACAAACACACATATTTTAAGCCTTAATTTAATAAATTTTATTATTGAAGCATATTTATTTATATTATAACAAAAGCTTCAATTTTTTTTAATAAAAATTTTAGCAGAACCTTCTCTTAAATAAGATCTTTCAACAATTTATAATGCAATATTTTAGGCAAGTTATTTAAATCAATTAGGAGCTCAGTCTCTTTCAGCCAATAGAAAGAATATGTAACAAAATAAAAGCTCTAGCTATATTGCTTATATGGAGCACCTAAAATTTAATTTACAAAATACAATTTCATAAATTAAATTGCATCAAAAGGTAACTTAGTCTACGGCTCTCCCACTTTCCCATTAGTGATAAACTCTTCAATAATCAATAGAAAGTTTAACATCAACTAATGAATCTAAAACCAAAACATTTTTCAGTGAATAGCATAAAAAAAGAGAATTTAAAAGGATAAAAATAATAACTCAATAATTATGTAAAATGATTGAAAAGATGATAATTCAATGTAATAAATATAATAAATTTGTAAAACTTAATCATAACCATAAAATGAGAGTAAACTAAAATTGCTTTACTCTATCATGTTTAAAGAAAACAAATTATCCATATGTAAATCAAAGTAATACACTTACTAATTATTGAAAACATTGAAATCTCAAATACAAAAGTTAATTAAAATTTAGAATTTTGAGGATTGAATAGAATAAATAATAAATTTGGACATACAATTCACGAGAGTAAATAACTAGATGTGGTTGAAGTCATGAAACAAATATTGACACACAGATTATGAGGAAAACTAACTAGATGTGACCAAAGCCACGAAATAGATGCAGGTATGAGACCTATGAATAACAAACATAAGAATAGAGTTTATAAAAATTAAACTAACTAGTCATTAATTATGGTGCGTTAAGGGCTAAAGGAATTACCGTTAGCAATAATGTTCTGCTTAAAGTCCTTTAAAAATCACTTTTCAAACATGCAAGAATAATCATTTTTGAAATATAATTTCCACTCTCAACATTAAACTCACATGAATCATTTCAAACTTTAATTCAATAGTCGTCAAAATAAAATTTCATAAGTAAGGTTCATTTTTGCATTTATTTGGTAACCAAAAATTTTCAAACCTAACCAAAAAAATTTCATCAGTCTTAAAAACATAATTCATAAGGAAAATACATGTGCATATCATATCTTAATTATTTCTTGTCACAATTGTATATATAATTTCACAGAATAAAATAATATAATTAACAGATGTCCAATACTTAACATAATTAACAATAACAACAACAAATCATCTACATAAAAATTTAATATTTCAGTAAAAGAGATTTTATTGATAAATTAATTGGGATGTTATTTACTTACTTGTTAAATTTTAAAATCCAATGATTTTGTCCCTTTCCAAACACCCTAAAATCATTGTAAGAATTTAAATAAACTTCCAATGCTACCAATATCAACATTTAACTATAATAAATTTTAAATTTTAAAGTCAAGACTTTACACATAAAAATTCTTTAAAGCTATAGCTCAATACTCTATTAAAATATAATCTTCAATTTAAATTTTTAGAGTAATAGCACTCAAATTGAACATATTACTTGCAAGGATCAATGAAATTTCAAAATATGCAAATCAAGTAAAGTTTCCTCTATCAAACATTATGCCAAATACCTTCCATACACTAATCTTTAAGCTCGAATCAAACTTCTTCCTTGATTCCATTTCCCAAAGATTTACAATGTAGACATTTAAATCAAACAACCTCCCAAATCCCATTTCCTCTAACAAGAATATCAATCTTAAATCTACAAAATTCAAATTGATTAAGTACCATCTTGATCCAACATAAAATTTTATCTTGAATCAACTTCTCATCCTTATTCAAAAATAGCAGAAAAAAATTGTAGCTTCATCACTTGAGTCCCAAGACACACACAGAAATGATAAGAAAAAAGTGGACTCAAGACCTCTTTACCTCCCTTCACATTGGCAGACATAGGGAGGAAGGGACGAAGGCAGATACAGGGGAAAAGAGCGACGGCCATCAAAATGAACCTCCCACAGCCACTTGAATTAGGAACGCCAAAAACAGGGAGAAAATTTTAAACTCCCTTAAACCATATCAGAGACAGCAAGCACGAAAAGAGGAGGAAGAAGAAAAAATAGTGACACACAAAAAAAGCTAACAACGACAACCAGGGGAAGAAAAACTCACTATGGAACTTCACAACAGCGGCGGATGGAGCTGTCGCACCTGTCAACGATGGCAAGCTGGACGGCTGGGAAGGTTGAGCGATCTGTGACGTAAAGTAGTAGAGACGATGAAGAATTCCAACGTTCCCATGCAGCAGAACGACAAAGGAGGAAGAGGAAGGCTCCTCGTTCATGGTAGCTCGTGTCAATCAGTAGCGGACGGAGTGGAGGTTCACGTCGGCGACGGTTGGAACAGGAAGGAGGAAGACCGAGATACAGAGGAAGCATGAATGAAGGGAGAGAAAAATCAGGGCACCTCAGTTTGGAATTGCATTGATGAGCACGTGGTGCTCATCACGGATCAGAGCAATTCTGACCTCGATTTTAGTTTTATTTGATGTTTATTGTCCATTTAAATTAATTTTTTTAATATTATATTTATTAATATAAAAAATATATAAAATTTTAAATTTTTATTATATCTTTTCATTATCAATCTGACTAAAATAGATTTAATTTAGTAATTTAATTTAATATTAAAAATTTATAATTTTATAATTTGATTATAAAAATAGACTCTGTATAGTTTAGATATAATTTAAATGACTTAATTTAATATTAAAAAATTTATAAATTTTACAAATCAACCATTTAAATGTATTATAAATAGTTCATATTTAATATTAAAATTTATATTTTTTATTTTAATAAATATAATATTATAAATATTTAAAAATTAATTAAATAAATGATAGGGATTAAATAAAGTTAAAATAAAGGATAAAAATTGTTCTTAGTCTTGATGAGCATTCGGTGCTTATCACTCGACAAGTATTGAATGTGGATGTCCTAAATTTGATTCGCTCTTTGAAAGTTGAAGGAGACAAGAGAGAAGGGGAAAAATACCTGATTGGAGTGAGGGTAATTTGATAAATTTTATAAAGTAAAAGGCCAAAATGAAATTCCCTAGCCTCAACAGATTCGAATATGGGATCTAATGGATAATATTTGTATAATCTTTCACTACAGTAACAATCCCTTGTCATTATAGTTTTAAGAATTAATATAATTACCATTTAAATATATTATTACACATTTAATTTTTCTTAAATTCCTGGACTATTACATAAAATCCCTTATCTTAGCGTAAGATAGGCTCAATATATCAGGTACTTTATGAGGGGAAAAAAATTAGAAGAAAGTAGATAATCTTGAACTGATTCTTCCATGGTTGTACTCAAATTGGTCTACGTCGTTTTAGTACAAGGTGTTTGGAAAAAAAAAAATTGAAACTCAATTTTTCAGAAGCCAACTTTTTATTTGTACTATAATAGAAAATATTTTTGTATTTGTGGCATTCTCCCATATAATTTTTTGTAAGGAAATCAGCAGCCAAGGATTTCAGTAACATTAATATTAGTCAAGAATCATTTTACTTTAAAATTACAATACAGCCTCTTAGTCTTTAATTGATATTAATTTGAGATTAAAAGACCAAATTGCCCTTAAAAGTTAAAAAAAGGCCACTTCAACGAGAAACTGTCCTACTAGTTCAACAAGGGATTCAAATTTATCTAATTATCTACTTGTTCAATAAAAAAACTAGTTTAGGAAAATGACACTTCATTTTAGGAAAAATGACACTTTATAATGTGAGAAATAGGAAAAATCGAGACTTACAAGTAAGTTGGAAAACTTTGATCAAGTAATCTCTCACTTGAGTTT